TTTGGGTCCTAAATTATTATTTCTACGAATAGACTGCTAATAGACTGCTGTCATTCATTTTTATACCCTCCACCATACTATGGAGAGTATATTAATTTTGTCATTCCGTTTGTAACTCCTTGAAATACTCATGTCAGACCCAACAAAGTATATATATTCTTGATCAGCGTAAAATTCTAAGACGATTTAGCCATGTCCGTCTGTCTGTCTGTCTGTTTGTTGTAATCACGCTATCTTTCGAACAAATTGAGATAGGAGGCTAAAATTTTGCACACATGTATATTTTGCCAGTACGCAGGTTAAGTTTGTAAATGGGCCATGTAGGTCCAAGTTATCATATAGCCCCCAAATAACGGTACCTCCCGATATTCGGTATTTTTATGATTTTAGCGACATTATTCACCGGAATTGTCTCAAATTTGGCATTTGAAGTTCAAAATGGATACTACAGCCTAAGACAGAAAATAATCTGTGTAGGTCCACGTCTTCGTATAGCCCCTATATAACGGTACCCCGGTATTGTGATGATTTTAGCGACATTATTTACTGGAATCGTTTCAAATTTGGCATTTGAAGTTCGTAATAGATGCTGCAGCATAAAACAGAAAATGGGCTATGTAGGTCCACGTCTTCGTATAGCCCCCATATACCGTACCCCACGATATTCGGTATTTTGATGATTTTAGCGACATTATTTACCGGGATTGTTTCAAATTTCGCATGTGAAATTCGTAATGGATACTTCAGCCCATGCCAGAGAATTGTCTGTGCAGGTCCACGTCTTCGTATAGCCCCCATATAACGGTACCCCCTATATTCGGTATTTTGATGATTTTAGCTACATTATAAACAGATTTTTCTTCAAGTTTCGCATTTAAATATTGTAATAACTTATGACAAAAGTTGCCTATACAGGTCCACGTCGTCGTATAGGCATTCGGTATTTTTAAGATTTTAACAGAATTTTTAACGGATTTTATTTTTTTTTTTTTTTTGGAAATTGTCAAATTTGTACCAAATGGTGGAGGGTATTAAAAATTCGGCCCGGCCGAACTTGCAGCTTTTTTACTTGTTGTTTTTATACCCTCCACCATACTATGGAGGGTATATTACTTTGTCATTCCGCTTGTAACTCCTCGGAATACTCGTGTCAGACCCAACAAAGTATATATATTCTTGATCAGCGTAAAATTCTAAGTCGATTTAGCGATGTCCGTCTGTTGGTCTGTCTGTTGTAATCACGCTATCTTTAGAATGAATTGAGATAGGTGACTAAAATTTTGCACACATGTTTATTTTTTCAGTAGGCAGGTTAAGTTCGTAAATGGGCCGTTTTCATATAGCCCCCATATAACGGTATCTCCCGATATTCGGTATTTTGATGATTGTTGCGACATTATTAAACGGAATTGTTTTAAATTTTGTATTTGAAGTTCGAATTGGATACTACACCCTAAGACAGAAAATTGTCTGTGCAAGTCCACGTCCTCGTATAGCCCCTATATAACGGTACCTCCCTATATTCGGTATTTTGATGATTTCAGCGATATTATTCACCGAAATTGTTTCAAATTTGGTATCTGAAGTTCGAAATGGATACTACACCCTAAGACAGAAAATTGTTTGTGCAGGTCATCGTCTTCGTATAGCCCCCATATAACGGTACCTCCCAATATTCGGTATTTTGATGATTTTAGCGTCATTATTCACCAGAATTGTTTCAAATTATGTATTTAGAGTTCGTTATGGCTTCGTTTTGACTACAGTCTGTGACAGAAAATTGTCTAAATAGGTCCAGGTCCTCGTATAGGCCCTCCCTCCCTCCCTATATTCGGTATTTTGACGATTTTAGGTACAATACCCACCGAAATTGTTTGAGATGTGGTATTTGAAGTTCGTAATGGATGCAACAGCCTGAGACAGAAAATTGTCTATGCAGGTTCAGGTCTTCGCACTCCGATATAACGGTACCGCCCTATATACGATATTTTGATGATTTAAACTTCATTATTCACCGTGTTTTTCAAGTTGCGATTTGAATATGGTAATGGCTTATGTAGGCCCACGTCAATATAACGGCTATATTTGGTATTTTTAAATTGTTTTAAGGATTTTATTTTTGAAAGTTTCCAAATGGTGGAGGGTATTTAAAGTTCGGCCCGGCCAAACTTACTGCTTTTTAACTTGTTTTTTTACAATGCTAGTTTGATTAGTTTATTAAATATAAGTATATAAAAATAAATATTTATCTTGAGCTGTAGGTTTTTTTCCACATTTGTCAAACTACGTAATAAAATTTATTACCAGAAAGACCTCTCTTATCATTGCATAATTCTGTGGAAATACGTTGCCTAGATTAAGCAATAACCTTAGAGAAAGATAGAATTCGTAGATTTCTTCTCCTATAACAAACTACATTAGTAATCGATGGCTTTAAAAATAAAATATTTTACTCTTTCAACAACCCTAAGGATCAACTCAAAATGCAATCATACCATTGTATTTTTTATCAAGTCACTAAGTCACTAATTAGAATTAAATATTTTTAAATGTAAACATATGATATTCTATGAGTGGGTTGGAATTGTATAAAAACTATGAAAGTTGCGCGTTGAACTGACAGCTCTCGAGGAGAGCTATCAGAATATGTATGTTTTTTATTCCCAAATGGTTTCAGGAAATCATTAATATACAGAACAATACGTTCACGTAGCTTTCTCTTATATTCACTCGTTGCTAAAAGTTTAATGAACTCAAAAATACTCGCGTTTTTTCATATGTTTTTGTTCCTTTTTTGTTTTTACAATATTTAATTAGTTAAATCATTGGTCGCGTTATTGAAATAATAAGGAGACATAGCACACCTTATTTGAAAGAATATGATGTAAATGCAAAAAGTTTGGAGCGCACGGAAATTAATTAGCAAAAAGACTTCCTCTGATTTTAGTTCATTAATTTATTAACAACATAAGATTATCTGAAATTATTTGGGAATATAAGCCATATTTATTCTGAAAAGACTCATCAAGATGTTTAATTTTTTTGCAATACAGCGTTTTCCATGCATTATACATACCGTTAGAAAATCGGACAAATTCAGTTATCTGAAATTACTTGAAAATATATGATATATATACTCATTTAAGCCGCGCTAATTAGAGAGTATTTCATAGCTTTTTTTATAATTCAATACCGCCAACCCCACTTTCAATAGAAATTCTAAAAAGTTATTTTGGAATATAAGACATATACAGGGAAAGATAAAAAAAAACTGCAACAAAGTCAAACGCCATACTTTTTAATTTTTTTTTAAATTTTATTGAATGAAAGCAAAAAATGTCGGAAATAGCATCAAATTTTAGAATAAGTTTAGATTTGTTCGAATTGGTCATTTTTAGCACGAATTATGGCCTTCAAACTGCCAATGAAACCGTCACACGCTGCCCGAATGTTGGTCTGCGGTATTTCGGCCCATTTTCGGGAAGCGCTTGCTTGAGGTGATCGACACTTTGGTATTTTTAGTGCCAACCTTGCTTTCCAAAATACTCCGGACACAATAGTCCTATGGATTGGTATCCGGAGATTTTTGTGGCCATTAGCGCTGGAATTGAAGCGAGGAACATCATTCTGTAACCATTCTTTGGTGGCGCGTGCTCAGTGCGATGGTGCTGAGTCCTGTTGGAATGTCCAAGGTCTGCGGCCAAAATGTTTGCGTGACCAAGACCTTAATACACCCTCTAGAATATTTTCGCGATAATATTCGACATTTATTTTGATGCCACCATCGATTAATACGAGCGGAGAGCGACCATCGGCTGTTATGGCGGCCCACACCATCACCATGGCCGGCGCTTGAGTTTTGGTGGCCAACCGAAGGTGCACATTTTCAGCTGACCTCTTTGGATCATTTACGATCATTTTATTTTTTACAAATTGCTGGAAAAATAATGTTTTCTCATGGGAGAAAACCAAATTCAGCAGTTCACCACTTTCGACCAAGCGAATAAACTCTTTAGCTCGTTGAGTCTATTTTCTTACTGTTGCGGTGTAAGTTCTTGAACTTTTTGGAATTTCAATGGCTTTACCCCGAGCTCACTTGTCAATATTTGCCGAATGGAATATTGCGATATGTTCAGCTCACGAGCCATTTTTCGGCCTCTGCGACGCGGGTTTCAATCAAGTCGCTTCTTTACATTTCGAATCATTTCTGCTGATGTTGCTGTTTTCTTCCGACCACTTCCTTGACGTCGGGCTTCGGTACCAGTATCATGGTAACGAGCGATGGTACGAGACACAAAAGATTTATTCACATTTAAATGCTGGAGTGCTTTAACGATAGCCACTTGTGATTTTCCAGCTAAATATAAAGAAATCACACTATCACGCGTGCATTCCACCACGAATAACTTTTTTTTGGAAAACTTTCACCAAACTGATTTTATACGTTTGTAACCAATATAACGACCTGTCATTGGAATAATTTTAACAGCTGTCGGACGAGTGGCTTAGAAATCACAGCAGTCTGGTTGCAGTTTTTTCATCTCACCCTGTATATTTGAAAGTACTCATCGAGTGTTTTTGATCATAATTTTTGTACAATTGCGAAATGTTTGTGAAATTGCGTTGTTTTTTCTACTAAATTTTCATTTCAATACATTGTAAATGACTTTCTACACCAATACAAATCGCAAGTAGTTTGTGTCTTTGCTTCTACGGTTTATATTCGCGGACATTCGTGATTTTTGGCGCAAGTGTCGATCACAATATACTTAAACATCCGGCACCTATGTGACCAAAAAAAAAGAAACCTTTTCGGGGAGTCTAACAGAAAATTGCGATTTCGAAAAAAAATGTTAAGAACATATCAACAAGTTTGGCAGGAGGGAGCGGGACCGGCGATCTGGATTTTTATTTTAAAAACTGCAATGAGTTTTAATTTTATATTTCTTAAAATAATTTTTTAATTATATTTGGAACGTAATGATGCATAAAGAACTTACATATATTGATGTTCATCTATTACTTTCCACCCTTTAATTTGCGAAAGGCGAAAATCGCTGATGTAAACCTCAAGGGGAAACTCCGGCATCCAGACAACGAATTTAGCAACTCCAATGTAAGTTCCGTATTTTACCATTATAGAAGCGTTTGATGAACCACGGATTTCAGAGCCATCGACATACACGGAACTACACGAAGATGATACCTAGATATAAATAAAATTGAATTCAATACAATGTTTTATGGGATTAGTTTATTTATATTTATATTCTTAAAATATAAAAAACTATACTCATCTACACTTCCCTTGAAGAGTATATATATATATACATAACAAAAACATCGACAAAGATTTCAACTCTTTAACATATTTTATGGAGCTTCTAACTTTTATAAACATATGGCACCTTATTTATGATAGTTAAATTAAAGTCATATTTCCAGGATTTCTTGGCAACCCTATGTCTTTTGGATTCATTCAGCATGTGCCAAACTCTCACCTCAAGATCTTTCAACACTGAAGTCAATTGGTGTGAGTTCATTTATTTGTGCGGCATGTGATCAAAACCTTGATAATGTACCGAAATATTGCTGTGGTTGACGACATTCGAGATCTCAAGAGGCAAATTGATAATTTTGTTGGTGTTCATCAAACCGAGTTGAATGGCATTAAAGATGAGATTGACAATATGAAGGTTGAACTGAGTTCGGGTCTGTCTGAAATCAAGTCTGATATTGTCAAATGTAATGACCGCATTAACCATGTTGAAGAGTCAGTGTCGTCTAAGATGAATCTTTTAGAAGCTGAGAATAACATTCTTCATCGTCGCTTAAACCGTGCTGACTTCATTATTGGTGGCTTACCAGATGGAATTCATGATCTTCTTATGCCTGTTTTATCAATTACCGATTTCTTTAAAGTCAGTTTGAATAAAAGTGATGTCAATAATATCTGCTATATCCACAATAGGAAGCAGATTTTAGTCAAACTAAATAATGTGGGTATTCGAGATGACATTATGAAGCAATATTTTAGAACCCGAAATATGCGTGTATGTGATGTTATAAAGGATGTATATATCTCAACGATCACTATACGCCTGCGGCTTCGAAACTCCGTTCAATTTGCGGCAAGCTTCGCCGACTGAACTTAATTTCAAAATTTAAAATTTTAAATGGAGACAAAGTTTTAGCGGAAATTACTGATCGCAATGGTGTTAGGACGAAAAGAGACATTGATTTTTGATGCTCCTTATTGCAACAATCCGAGGTTTCGTCTATGTAGCAGGATTTTTTACTATTACACTGATTGTATGATCTCATTAATATTTTTTACGAACAGCTGTGCTATCTAGTATTTTAAGTTATTTTGTATTAAACATGAAATTGAATATTATATCGCAAATTTATTATATTGTACTCTTTATTTCATCTTTATTATTCTATTTGTTTTGGCTCCCCACCGCATATTTTTTCAAACAATATGATGTCTTCTAATAGTAATTTAGGTCCTATAGTTAGCTGTAACACATATATTAAATCTGTCTTGCAACCCTACTCTAGTCAAATGAAAATAGGCCATTGGAACTACCGAAGTCTAAAACCTCCTTTAAAAATGAATGAACTTAAATCTATTTTGAAAGATAATGTTATAGATGTATTAGCCATTTCGGAAACATGGTTGTCACCAGACATATTAGATGTATCTGTAGCTATTCCAGATTAAAGGATACTTCGTAATGACCGGTTAATCTCTTTTTTCTCGCTTTTCAAACATTATTGCTGTTGGTGACTTTAATATTAACTTATTTAATTCCAGCAGATGTGATTTGCTTCGTTCGTTCTCTTCTCGCTTTGATTGATCAGTTGTGCATAACTAAAAACCAACACATTTTGACTTGAGGTGTAGATCAACATCGCTCATTATACCCTACAACACTTTGTGTTGGGGGTATTATAAGTTTGATTGGGCCAAAAATTATGTAACACCACGAAATATTGATTTCCCACATAGGAAAGTATATAAGGATCTTCCTACCTCGCCGAGCTGAGTCGATCTAGCTATGTATGTCCGTCCGTACGTCTGTCCATGTTAATTTGTAATCAATCTACAGGTCGCAATTATGGACCGATCTTCACGAAATTTAAAATGTAGGTGGGGTTACGGTCAGAATAGAACCCTATTTCTTTTGAAGATGATCACATAATATTTACGGGTTAAAATGGACCAAAAACTGAAAAAAATTCCTGACTTTGCAGTTGCTCTACAGATCATAATTATAGACCAATCGAAGCGAAAGTTAGCATGGAGCTAGAGTTTTGGGCTGGGCAGAAGCCTTCCAAATTTGATGATCATCGGGTAATATTTAGTGGTTGAAATAGACCATAGCATTTGTGATAAAGAAGAGTCAAATTTTCCATTAAACCGCGAATATTTTTAATGCCGGCGAAATCACAAATAGACGAACAGGTTAATTCTGACCGTTACGTAGATGCCGATAGTAAATATATCGGATATATATAGTGAAATATATACAATGTATATATACAAAGGAAGGGGATGTTAGCTAGAATGCTTATATCTCCAGAATGGCTAGAGCGATTTTGACAAATTTTGTCAATTTAGAAGGCCCTATTGGCATACAAGTATAAAATCTATAAAGAATCGTATATAAATACGCCAATAATGATGTTAATATAGATTTTGTAGTATTTTGTGACATTTTTTCATATTTTTTTTATCGCATGCGATTTTTTCAATTTGACTTATAATATTGAAGTGTATATTTTGTAATATTTTTGCACTTTACAACACAGGTTGGGGTTGTTATATACAGATTGCAATTATCGCCCGATCCTCACGAAAATTTTCGCAAGGGTAGGATTAGGCTCAGAAGGGCTAGGTCTATCGTTTTCAAAGATGTCCGCAATATATTTAGAGGTTGAAATGGAACAAAAATTAAAAATATTCCTGATTTTGCAGCCGTTATAAAGATCACAAATAGAAACCAAAGAACACAAAATCTCGCATGAAGTTAGAGTTTAGGACAGCGGGTAGAGTGGACCACTACTTTTATGTGAAAAATACCAACATTACTTATAGTCGATATTCGAAATAAACAAAGGAATATCGTAGACAAGAAAATCATATAGATTAGTCTAGATTATGAGATACAGAGGGTCCTCTTGCTTTTGGAGATGATCGCAAAATATTTAGGGGTTCAAATGAACCAAAAACAGAAAAATGTTCCTGATCACACAATTGAAGCAAATCGACACTCCTGAGAAGAGAGTTAAGGACAGGAAAAAAGTGTAGCATTTTGGATGACCATTGGATTATATTCAGCTGTAAATGGACGACAACAACTAATAACATAATTTCAAAATCGAAATCTCCCAAAATGGATTTGGACATAAGGGGGCTTCTATCATATTGTGGTGTTGTAGGGTATCACATAGTCGGCCCCGCACGACTATAGCCTTTGCTTACTTGTTTTCTTTTTAAATATAACTAGGCTTAAAATAAAGGAACGAAAAAAGGATTATGTCCGTTTCGTCTGTACTTCTGTTTTTTCATTATTGGTTTTAATAATTTAGCTTTCGTTACTTTTTAGCAGTGTGACTTTGTAATACTTTGAGATCACAAGCACTTCTATAGTTATTATTGTTCACGGCGTTTAGGAGTTTATTCTATGAGAGTTGGATGTAAGTTTTGCTTAATTATGCCCTCAGCCATATGAGTTTTCGACTCGACGAGTCTATAAAAATTACAACGGTTTCCGTGATTTCATTCTAAATCAGTAACTACACGGATTTTAAGAATGCGAAGCTTTTAAAAGTTGCATTGCAATCGCCTCTTAACTTAACCCCTAACTTAACTTGCAAACTCCCGGAATCTAGGCAGCGAATTACAGCCAAAAAATCGGTGTCCACTTCGACAAAGTTATCGTTAGAGAAGCTCCTCTCAGAAAATAACCAGAGGTCAGGGGAACTAAATCATTCCGATCTCCTGATACTGAGCTTAACGGTCTCGAGTTTAGTACAGCTTCACTTCGTACGAGAAGTGTCGTAAACTCGTCAACGGCCGCCTCCCAAAGGCCGTTAGTGTGTGGTGCACATGGAGCTATGAAAGTGCAAGCGAATCCTTTTTCGCTCTATTTGACACATAGTTTTTCTCCTAGAGACTTCATCACAATACTCTTGTAAAAGCTTTTCCGACAAAGTTACGACCGCGCGCTTACCAACGAATCTGGAAAATGTAGCTAGTGAGGCATCTGCAGATGGTCCGTAATACTGAAAGGGCCACCAAAGTCTACTCCCGTTCATTTGAAAAACAACTCTTTCAGGATGTCTCTCATTGTAACTCAATCCAGAGTTATTCAGTCTCATTCCCACTCGAATCAGACCGTTAGTTCACGCGGATAAATTATTGTCATAAAACAACAAGTAGAGATTGGACAGGCTAGAATTTTCTCTGAAAGGGTTAGAAAAATAAAACTGGGTCAAAGGCACATAAACAAGTTTATAACATTATATGTTATAAATGAAAAGGAAACCTAAATAGATTATCTGAAAATGGGGTTATTATTGAAGACGATTTAGCTGCCTGCCAGAAATTAAAACAATTTTTGGCAGTATTTTCAACCACTTACCTACTAATGACACCATTCAGGAAAAGGAAGATGTTGTCAATAATGCAATAGCTAATATATTTCACTTGTTACTTTTACTGATGCAGAATCCTCAATCAATCACATGGGAATCCCTCAACTAACAACAATGGATGAAATTAGCAATATTTGCAAACCAATGAATAATAAAAAGTCATGTGGTTTGGACAACATATCCAATCATATACTTAAAAGGCTTCCTGCAAAAGCTATGGAATAATTAATGTTTTTTTTTTTTAATTTTTAATTGTTTAAATAACTCCTATTTTTTAAAAAAAAATGGAAGGTGTCCAAAATTATATCCGTTGTTAAAAAACCAAACAAAACTAATTTAAGACCAATTTCTCTGCTTTCAAACTTAGGAAAATTTCTCGAACAAATTATTGGTATTAAAATAAATCATGGGATCTACGGCGTATATTCCCGAAGTACATTTTCGCTTCAAGCAAGGACATTCTACCACAGATGACCTTCATAAATTCCAAAATGATATTGTGTGTAATCGTCGTGAACGGAAATGGACAGAACTCTTTCA